GCGCGGAGGGGGGTGGACGGAAGGTCGGAACTCTCGGATCACGGGCGGAGGGAGGTAGCCGGGAGAGCAGCGGAAGAGCACAGCCCTCCCGAAAGGCCGGGGGGAGGGATAGGGCGGCGCACAGGGCGAAGCGGATTGGCCGAAGGGAGGATGAGCGTGCGCAGACGCACAGGGGCGGGGCAAGGGAAAAGGCCGCGGAGAGGTACGAAAATATAGAAGGGTGGATCCCCGTTTGGATCCCCGTTTAAGGTGGGGGAGAAATCCACCCGGGTTTTTCATGGACTACAGCCCCGGCTGTGGTGGCCAGGATTTCTGGGAGTTGTAGTCCAAGAATACCTAGAAGACTCAGGGTGGTGAACGCGTGGTCTGGACGCTTGGGTCCCCGGGTGTTCTTGGACTACAAGGCCCAGAAGCCTCCACCCTGACCTGTGCTGACCAGGAATTCTGGGAGTTGTAGTCCAAGAACACCTGGCGGGGACCCAAACAAGAGAAGGAGAGATGCTTCAGTGAAACACCTTTGGCCCTTTGGGAGGCTTCAGGATGGCTGGCGTTCCAGGATGATGGGACTTGAAGTCCAAAACCATGCGGAGAGGTAGTTTCTGCCCCTTCCGTGCGCCCCACAGCCATGGGATGGGGGTAGGAAGGCCAGGAGAGAAAATTAACAATTGTGTCGCGCTCACCAACACACACACACACACACACACACACACACACACACACACAGGCAGAGGGATCGACCACCAAACAACCGGAAACCACGTTGATGGATCATTTAATGGATCAACAAACATCGCAGGTCACGAATCCCTTTAAAATATCTTCCGCCCCCTTGCTCACTGCTGGACCCAGGAGCGGGCAAACATGCTGGGCTTTGTAGTAGTCTGCAGGGAAGGGGGCCTCAAGTCGAGGGACTTTGCTGTCCAAGCGACACTGGGGGCCTCGACTTGCAACTCAGAGGCCACATTTTTTTTTCCTGGGGGCTTGTGTTTTTTTTAATATAAGAACTCACATTTGGGGCTCCGGAGCAAAGACTCGCACTCGGGACTTGGTGCCAAAGACATGCACAGACACACACACTGTGGAGGACAGGTCCTACTTGAAGAGGCAAACACTTCCCCTCAATGCACGGAGGGCCAGCCCCAGGGCCTGGGTCTCCGGCTCTCCCCACAGCTTCTTCCCCATTGCCCCCCATCTTTCATCTCTTCTCTGGGCAGGTCGGCGTCCTGCGCTTCATGCTCCTCCGCTTTCGGATGATGAAATCAATCTGGTAGATCAGCATCACTGCCAAGGAGAAGACGACTACCTGGAAAGGAATGAAGGGAGGATGAGGCCGGAGCCAGGCGTTCTCCCCTCCTCGATCCCCTTGGAGCTCAGAAAATTTCCTTTTCCGTGAGATCGGTATCCACAGATTCACTTCTCCATGCTCTCAAAAACATTAAAAATATTAAAAAAGAAAAATCGAAGAAATAGATAGTATTTCTAAAGAGAGAATGCCCAGAACTGGCACACGCGAGGGAACCAGAGACTGCCTTAGGTAGGGTGATCACTCTTAATCCACGTTTTTCAGCATCCGCTGGAGTTCTTTGAACCAGGGGGGTCCCACTGTAATGCCAATCAGCAACTTTTCAAAGGTTTTAACCCTCTCTTGGGTTTCCGGGTGGTTTCCAGGCCACTCACTTCCAGGATCAGAAGCCCACAGGCCAAGCCAGCCACCAGCAGCAGGTTGCTTCGACCCCAGTGAGCCATCTTCTCCAAGCACCCCTCTGTGTACACCAGGCTCTCCGCCTGCCAGGAGTTCAGATTCTGCGTCCCGTAGCCACACATTGTGTTTAGAATAGCCTGCAGGGAGAGAGCGAGGCACAAAGGATACTAGGACCCCCGTATCCACTGATTCCCTTATGCACAGTCTGAAGATGTTGATAATTCATTTCCTCACCTCTTTGTCCCGCAGGCAACAAGAGAACGGCACAGCGCAGCGCTCGAGGCTGGGGTTCCCATCTTGGCAGTTGAAGTACACGTTCTGGGACCAGTCTCTGTACGAGTGGACCATACAGCATTCAAACTGGGAAAGAGGAGGAGGGACAAAAAGCAGTGAGCTGGCAGGAAACCCATCTGGCAAGTCTGCAAACCTGCAAAGGTGAGGAACCGCTCAAGAAGATGTGGGTGTGATTCCCGCTTCTCTTGTCTTAAAGAAAATAATCTTTAAGAAATCCTTTAGAAATATAGGAGGACCCCGGTATCCGCGGGGGATCGGCTCCAAACCCTGCAGCGGATGCTGAAAAATGTGGATAATAGCAAACACTATTTCAATAGCAAGCACTATACATAGCATGGTCTCTCGCTCCCTGTAGTGGCCAGTTCTGGTAATGTCATCTTTAGAAATATATATTTCTGAGATTTTCCTTTGAATGTTTTTAATATTTTCAGACTGTTGATAAGGGACTCAAGCGGATGCCAATCCCGTGGATATGGGGGTCCTATTGAATCTCCAGGCCAGAAAAACGGCCTGGTTTCTGGGAGCAAGGTCGCTCATTCAGTTACCTTCTTCTGGATGTAGTCGATCAGGTTTTGCAAGTCAAGATTGTCGCGATAGCGGGAGATGGCCTGCCCCATCAGGTCGGATACTTTTTCCATCACCTGGTTGGGGGGCGGGGATGAAAAACAACAACAGGTTTTCCTGAAAAGTCTTAAGGAATGCCTGATAGAACTCTAGGACATTGGTCAGGTGAGAAAACCCTGACGCCCTGCAGAATTTATTTATTACTTAGACTTGTTTGTGTTGTTTAGTCGTTAAGTCGTGTCCGACCCTTTGTGACCCCATGGGCCAGAGCACGCCAGGTTTTCCACTGTCTTCCACTGCCTCCCAGAGTTGGGTCAAGTTCATGTTGGTTGCTTCGATGACCCTGTCCAGCCGTCTCGTCCTCTGTCTTATACCTTAAACTTTGATTTATATCTATGTCTAAATATGCTTCTCTGAGCACCTTTTCGGAAAGAACAAAGGTATACGGCAGAATTTTAAAAATGAGCATATAGGAGGTGCTTACCATGCCGGAGAAGAAGAAACCCAGAATCGCGGCCACAATTTGCAAAACGAAGATGAGGAACAAGACCCAGGCAAACTGGAAATTGGGGGCACGGGGGAGAGGCTGGGTTAAGGCCTTGTTGATCAGCCAACTTACCCCATGCACATTTTTGTCCCTGTCCTCCAAAGGAGAGGCAGGGGGAATCCCTGACCCCACCCAGGATGGTCCACGGTCGTTCCCCTTACCATTTTTAGCAGGAGGGTGAGGTCCCTCAGCGCCCCCAGGCAACCCAGAAAAGTAGTGCCGAAGGTCAGCGCTCCCACGGCGAAGAGGACCACGGAGGGGTCGGAGAGCAGGGAGCCCATCGCCCCTGGGAGAAGACAGAGAAGCGTCGGGAGAGACCCGGCCAAGAGGAGATGGCGGCTTTGCTGTACGTCTTCGCGGGGGGGGGGGAATTCATCAAGACAAACCGTGCGACCGCACAGCAAGCCCTCGGCCAATTTGGGAAAATAGGAGACAAACAGCAAACCCATCCACCCCTTTTATAAGCGGGATCGGTCTCGGCAGACTCATTGATCTGCCGGCTGGAATTATTAAAAATATTTAAAACAAAAAATCCTAGAAATAATCATTTCCAAAGAGGAAGTTCCCAGAACAGGCCACGGGAGGGAGCCAGAGACCAGGCGATGGAGAGTGTTTGCAATCATCCCCGTTTTTTGGCATCCGCGGGGCGGCTTGTTATTGATTCCCCGCGGACATAGGGATCCTGCTGTCATTTTTGCAAACTCTGAACAACAACAACAAAAAAATCACTGTTTTGCCACCCTAGGGCTGAAACATCTTTGGATCTTGCAAATCTAATGTTTTGTAAAAATGGCAGACGGCCGGCTGAGCGCCATCCAGAGCTGGACTCTCCCTGAATTACTCAGTGGGAAGGTTTGCAGGGTTTCTCTCCTCTCCACAGAGCGGCTCAACTTCCCATCCCTCCCTCCTTAGCTGCGACTAACAGGGAGACATCAGGGGCTTGCCCGGTGCCACACAAGATGGGGCCACCCCTCCACTCACCAGCTTCTTTAGACAGCCTGGCGTAGATCCCCACGGCCACCATCAGTCCGCTGGCCACCTGGAGGGGCGAGAAGAGAAACCACTGCCCTCTTTTCAAGCACAGCTAGAAGGGACTCTCGAGATCATCCAGCCCAGCCCTTTGCCAAGGAGGCACCGTTGGGGGGATTCGAACTCCCAACCTCCGGCTCCACAGTCAGAGGCTGGCACCTCGGGGTTGCTCCCTCCTGGCAGCAAGACTCCCTCTTAAGTCTGCCAGAACCATGGGAGGTGTGAATGCCCAGGAGCTGGGCACCGGCAGGTACAACTCACCCAGAAAAGGTAACAGAAGGCGAACAAGGTGTATTTGATCAGCTGGTTGGTGTGCATTGCTCACAGCCGGCCACCAGCCCGCTTGCCCGCCTTTCTGTCTGCTGGAGAGGATGACCCGAGGCTTGGAAAGATCGGAGATGGCCGGGGGACCCCTTGGCCACCGTTGGGGTGTCGGTGGGCCGGATGGTCCTTGAATGTTTGCCTGCAGGGCCCTTGGCGGACAAAGCCCTGGAAGAAAGCAAAAGAGGGGGATAGGAAGGAGAAGGGCGTGTTGGCAAACAGGCAGGAAGCAGCCTGCACCTTGCCTGGCGAGTAGGGACTTGATCCCAGGCTGGCAGCGTGTGGCGTTCGGAGGCTCTGCCCTGCCCGCGGGCAGAGGCGCCTCAAGACAAGAGCAGGGCTGGCCGAAGACCTAGCA